CGTCTACGGTGCTGTTTTGAAAAGAGACTAGCACAGCTTGCACTTGTTGAGGAAGTTTGGATAAGAAAAGTTGTTTGAACAGGCCATCATCGAAGGTTCATTGGCCAATAACTTCTCTCATTCTTTGCAACATGTCTGTGGCAGAACCGTGTTGCAGGTCGATGTTGTTAAGGAGTTGGTCTAAACTTTGTGGATCGGTTAGATCTCCGCGTTTAAGAATAGATAGTTTAAGAGTTTCGTATGACTCAGAAACATCACTTGTAAACGTACTAGGTGCTACGTACCTGTTGAATTCGCGCGGTAGTGCCTTGACTACTGCGAGGAATTGTGCACGTGTGTCGTTCATGCCGTGCTCGTAGAAGTCGGCTTCTTCGTACCAGAACCAGGCTTCCAGGTTGTCTGGACAGAAGAGCATTAGTTGGAACGAAGGTGGGGACACAGTCTTTAACTTAAAAACCTTAGGTGCCTGTTCAGTCATGGTGAAATATCGAGTACGAGAATGAACTAGTGAGAAATATATATATATCCAAAAAAAACGGGAAAAAATATCACAATGTATAAAAAGTTAAAAGAAGAAAATGACATATAAAATCCCAAAAGGAACAGACTCACAGTTTACAATTTAGTGTACCAGGTCACGTTAGGCTCACCAATGAAGATGCCACAGGTATTCGGAGTTTGACAACGCTTTAACCAGTGACACTTAATATGAAGCAAACACACCAAGTGAAATCAAAAGACAGAAGCTAGGAGGTTCGAAGATATATTTGATAGGCTATCAATATATCAAGGATCGTCTGATCTAATCTGGCTAGAGATTGCGGCAGATGTTGAGCACGGCGTCCCCACACGTGATCTGGTGCGGGTGCATGGCCGAGCACCTTCAGCTAGATGAGTCCATCAAAACTGTGGTCAGCATCCAATGTCGAAAACTTACAGAGCTATTTATTTTAGGGATTTAATTACCGCTAAATTACGAAATCAACCATTTTCGCTCGTCATTAAGAAGGACTAGAGGTGACTATTAAATTTTACTTTACTCGGTGCTAAATTTGAACCTGATATCCCATCATTTTGTTTTCCTCCAAAACAGAGTGTTCAAGAGAACATTCACAAACTTAGATTAAAGCACTTGTCAGCTGACTATCGACTTTCCCAACGAATAATCGATGCATTCAAAAGTAGATTAAATCAATTGAGAGAAAACCATCGTCAGGATTAAAGCTGGGTAAACAGTGCATATCGTTTCCAAACTGAAACTGAAACACGAATTGAGGTGGGATAGTTTAATACACTGAAAGCTGTATAATCTTCAGTCTTCAATAATAAGGATAGTAGGTTGGTGAACCTGTGTTAATCCTAGCAGATTAACTTTCAGTGAAGGTCCAGATTGTCCTTGAAAATATTCACTGATGGAGCTGATACCACTTGTTCGAGCAAGGCAATCTAATCATTGACTACTCGGTGAGAAAAACGGAACCCCATTTTACGTTTATTAGATTGCGGTTTATGAACCTTCTTGCTATGACCTCTGAGATTATTAGTGCTGGAAAGAGCAAAAAGATAAGACATATTAACACACAAATCACAATTAAAGATACGAAATGCCAGTATAAGGTCACCTCGAGTCCTACGATAAGACAAGGGGAAAAGGTTTAGGCGTTTAAAACGCTCATCGTAAGGCAGTTTAGAAAGACCCTTCACTAATTTCGTTCCCACACGCTGGACACGCTCAAGTGAGTCAGTATCGTTTACCACACATGGGCTAGCGGCTTGGATACAGTACTCTAAATGTGGTCTTACATAGGTGGAATATAAAATTCGAAACATTTCCTCGTCAAAAGATTTGAACGCTCAGCAAAGTGACCATAACGCACGAAAACCTTTGACAGCGGCTACGTTGCAATGCGTAGTTGTTTTTAGGTTATGACTTATTATTACTTCCAAGTCTTTATGTTCTTAAACGCAAGGAAGAGGTTTATCATCAAAAGTATAATGGTAACTATTGCCGTGCCCGATGTGCATTAGCACACTCTTCCTAGAATTGATTTCTAAGCCCCACCTCGAGATCATCTAACTAAACCGTCTAAGTCAGCTTGAAGATAAAGATGATCAGCCTCACTTTTTATTGTTCTCCAGATTTTTACGTCATCCGCAAATAATAATGTCGACGACCTAAGCAACAGCGTTAACTCATTAACGTAGGGAAGGAAGAGCAAAGGGCCTAATATGGTGCCTCGGGGTACACCACTTTTGACCGGCTTCCAATCGAATAACGTCCCATTGACTCTCACTCTCTGTCTGCGGTCACATAAGAAGTTACCTATCCACTCCTGTACAGTACCTTATATTCCCCCCCCCCCCCCCAAAGCTCGTGAGCTTCTGCATAAGGCCTAAGTGTGAAACCTTGTCGAATGCTTTGCTAAAATCTTTGAATATCACATCGACAGACAGACATTTATCTAAGGCTGTTGTCCAATCCTTTCTCGCAATAAGTAAGTTAGTCAAGCATGAACTGTTGTCATGAAATCCATGTTGCTCAGGAGCTAGCAGATTGTGTGAATCTATGTGGCTTAGCAACCTAATCGGAATTATCTTTTCAAGTAACCCAACGACAGTGCTAGTTAGACTGACAGGTCGGTAGTTAGATACGATCTGTCTCTGACCATCCTTAAATATAGGACTGACAACAGCATCTTTCCAATCCCTAGGGAGTCGAGCGAGTGAGAGGGACATGTTGATGTGTGTCGCAAACGGTTTGGGAATAATTTCCGCAAGAGATTACAGCAGCCGCGGATGTAACTTGTCAGGACCCGGTATCTTATCAGGTTTGAGGTTAGTTATCAACGGAAGGACAGTACAAGTGCACACTGAATAACGGTTGATAAAGGTTCGCTATCGAAACCCCCACTTGGAGCTGTAAGCTCTATCCAATTTATGTGCGGTGCGTTGAAGTCTCCAATGATGAGACAACATTCTGCCATACACCATGAACAGATGTGTCTTAGAATAAAGTCGTCAGCAAGATAATATGAACTACGGTATATTCCCCCTATAGTCACTAACCCATTTCAAGATTTAATCTTACAACATGATACCTCACATGTACCACTAACATGAGCCTCCGATATGATCGATTGTATACGAAAGTGATCCCTAATGTATAACATTATGCCTCCCCCTTGCGACTTAAAACTCTATCACTTCTAATACAGATATAGCCTGCAATGATGGGAGGACATTCAATATCTACGGTGAACCAAGTTTCTGTAACAACAATTATATCAAGACTTCATTCATCTGCCAACAGACTTAACTCGGACGTTTTATTCCTAAGACTACGGGCGTTCGTGTAGCACACACTTGAGGTGTTTTGGTAATCATTCGTTCTACCCATACAGGCCTCGGAAGCATTGGCTTCCAAGATCTGACTACCCGAAAACCCGTAATGGTAAGGTTAGTATCGCCATTTAACTTGCAAGTTATCAAATCTGTTAGAGCATTCTTCCACTTAATTCGATCCTCAAGCGACCAATCTGGTCGCGAATTTTTGTGCGTTTGTCAATAATATATCCCTTTCTTCGAAATTTCCGAGAACCAGCTTTAAGTTCCTTCTTGGTTGGGTCTTGCCTCCAACCCATTTACCGAGTCGTATCACCTTCGTGATATGTACCCCTGAAACCTCTTTAGGTAGTAGGTTTCTTACTATGGATTCCACTAACCTCAGATCATGTGCATGTCTCTTAGCAGGGTCATTGTCTATCGACTCCTCTAGATTCCAATTAATTAAACTAGGGAGTGGTTTGGCTTCTTTTGGAATCGTGTTTACAGCTATCGATCGTGACCTTAGGTCCTGTATATTAACTGCTGGTATCTTACGATTAGTTTTTTAATGTAACAGGGTCATTAGAGTCGAGCGAGTGACTCATAACAATGTTTGAAGAGGCTTCACTTTGGGACTTTGGCGGAGTGGTCTGAGAGTCCACCAAGCACTTATCAAGTAAACGGTCATTACCTTTAGCTGTCTTTCCTAATCTTCTGCTTTTCCGCGTCATCCATATTCCATCAGTCGTAGCATCTACATTAGAACTACTCGGGACAGTAATTGTTTTATTTGAATCACCAGTTGCTGCTGTAGCAACATGGCCACCAATATCTAATGAGGTGTCACTCATTGATTGTTTCGGGGTAGAAATTTTAATTTCGGGTTGCACAGTTAGATATCTGACTTGCGCCGTGACAGCAATTACGACACTAACGCAATCTTCACCATCAGTACCAATGTTGCCAGTACAGCCTTCATCAACCTTCTTATTAGCCAACACCAAGAGGCTAATTGCTTCCTGGATGGGTGATGTTTTGCCCGAGCAACAAAATCTACAAAGCCAATGAGAGTTGGGCTTCAAGAACCTTTTATATGAAGCGGGGCTTAATCGGGTGCACATCTTGTGGAACCACTTATTACACTCGTCACATTGCATCCCCTCTTCCACGGGGAATAAGCAATATGGTTGTCCACATTTATGAGCCCATTTGGCCATCTTGAAAATCAACTACAATAGTGATACTAACGGATATGTAGAAGAATTCTAAAACCTTGACTAAATAAATCAAGTAAAAGTCGACCAAGTATGCTTCGATGCAATAAACACACAAAAGCAAAGTCAAAACACTCAATACAATATCACTTTAACTGGAGAAGATTCAATTAATGTGTAAACAGTAGTTTTGATGCGTAATTTACGATCAAAACAGTTAATTAACTCAACGAGAAACAATACTACTGTCCTTTTAGATAGCGGTCGCGAGGTCTGAATCAATTAAAAAAGAATGTACCGCTTCCAGTCCCACTGATTTTTCCATATCTAAATATCTTCGTGTCTTCAGTCAAGCGTCGTCGTTGAAGTTCATACTGAGTAGCTGATTTTATAACGTTGCTTATGGAGCTAGTCTTACATTTAGAAGTTCATTAGACGCGGGGGATTTGGTCTCGACGTTATATGTTTCTGCCCATTCTTAGGTGCCGTGTAGTTTTCTTGATTTATCTTAGTATGTCTCGGACTAACAAAAGTGAGGGACAGTTTATATATTTTTCTATTCTCCACAGGTCATAGGCCACCGGGTTTGAGAGGAAAAGAGATAGGCCTTTGGCATGCTGCTCAATCGAAAAACAGATGTAAAGGTCATTTGGACTACCAGAATAAGGTATGTTCTGTCGAATGTAATTCACCTCTTCAAAAATGGAATATTAGAAAGGTTTTTTTAGTAAGTTCTATGTGCTATGCCCCATCGATAGCCTAGGTTTCATTTATCAATGAGAAAGGAATGTTTCCCAATTTGTGACACCTAGGGATAACTGCTTTACAAATACTCCTGATACACTCCTCGGAGTTACAAATATGGGTTTGTCTTTTTTTATCTATGGAGGACTGTGCAGCGACGTGACAAGTTCACTATAAAGGAGTTTCTCACCTTTAAAATGGCCCTAAACTTCCTCCACGCTTCTGTGATCGATCATGTTGTCGTTCTGTTCAGTAATGTATGCCCAAGTTTTCTGGTTAGAGTCCTTGTAGTTAACACAATACCACAGAGATAAACGCTCAAAAACACATGTAAAGGAGCAGGTGTATTTGTTGCCTATCTCCCTTTCAATCTTTAACTTAGTATTATTTCCCGCCGTACATTCATTCTTTTTGCCAAGTTCCCCATCTTCGTTGGTAATGTTTTGAATAGTTGTTCTTCATTTACCTAATTTCCTTTTTATGTCAATATATTTATGTCACGTCGTGTGTTTATTATCTAACTGCCCAATTTTATTCTGTTCAAATTTTAGGGTTTTCCCAAAAAATGTAGGCGTTGTTGCTTGTGTTTCTCGAGTTCACTTTTTTATCAAATGGCTGGTTTCGCTATTAGATAAAACGATATAGAACCGTATATATATCCGTAGATTGAAGATGCTACACTTCGGAACCTGACTAAACTCAACACATTAGGATTGTAATATCTTAATTACAGAAAGTGTGAGTAGGCAGCAAATAGATCTCTTGGTGGGTTGAAGATCCATAGCTCCACCAAATAATTTGTCATATTTGCTTGATACCTAATGTCTAACCTCAGCATTGCTCACTCGGTGGTCCAGACTTACGTGAAAAATGCTTAAAAGACAACTATAATCAAATAATATTAACTTACATGTATCCCTTACTTTGAAAGGCTACGTTTCATTGTTTTACAGTAAAACAAGAGAGTGGAATACTGCAACATCTTTGCTCTTCACTACCATTTAAACTCTCCTAGATGCGTTTCCGAGCAATAAGGTAAAAAATAATTTATTACTGAGAACATGAAAATCATATCTGTTCTAAATTCTCAAATTTATTCTCTGTTTCTACTTACGAAATAACTTATTTTGTTCAATGTCTATAAAAATATTCAGAATAGAATGTTAATAGTAATATGAAAAGAGACAATATTTTTTTACCGCTGGTTAAAAATCAGTTAATGCTACTATTTCTTCAATGATTGTCTTACTTTGAATGAACATTATACTGTTGATGTTCGGATTCTACAATCCGAAATCTAACTCACCATTCTTGTTGGAGAAAGTTGATGTGAATCATAAGAATAGACGAATTTCACTTTACTCACTTAAAGACTTAAGGATAAAGATCAAATATTGGGTCAACTTACGGTCATATCTGTTTTTCTATATTCTTTAATCAATCATGTTTCTGAGATGTGTCTAATTAGCATAGAATTGTATGCTGTTTCCTCACAATGCTCAGTTTAGTCGGGTTGGGTCATTTTCATTAAATGTAAATTTCTAGCCTGTTTAGACCTGAAAATCTATGTTTATATTTGCTTAGATTTAAGCTCTGTTTATAAATTCTTAATTCAACTAGTTTGCTTCTATGCCTCTTGTCGGCCTGAATCTTCCGAAGATTCAGTCAGTTATACAAGAATTTGTGGAGCCTGTTCATGAAATCCCCAAAACTAGTAATGAACATATTTCATTCATGTGTAAACTCCCAACTCTCAGTACTTCAAAACAAACTCCCGAAGAGGACGAAGCAGAAGAATTATTTGGAGAGATTCGAGATTGCTTTGATGTCTCAGTGGGTCCATGCTCTGATCCTGATCAAATGTTATTAACAAAAGAAAGCTTGGCTCGAAATCCAGACATTGATCATGAGCTCTGTCTTTCAATGCGGAACTGCATAAGTTCTGCTGCCTACATGAAAATTTTCGAATCCAGGTGTAAACTTCCAGCATACGAATTCAAAGAAGTGGGTATTTAGTTTATTTAATCATATTTGTACAGTTTGATTAATGGGATTCTGGTAACTTGCACTGGCAATATATTTTTCCGATCTCTCCTCATGATGTAGGATTATGAAGAGAAATAACGATAGTACACTTCTAATATAATTTGTAATCTATTTAAGGATACTACAATTATTACCTAATGTAAAAAATGCTATGGATACCAACTAAATACCAACCAATCAATGATGCTAACAAATATTTCTAGCATAAGACAGGGAATATACCCTAAAGATGAAAAACAAGTCGTCTTCAGAAGTCTCGTTTGTATGATGCTGAAGTTGAAAATTCAAATTAACAGTTGCCGCTTCACATTTAATTTAAGCTTGTTTTCCGTACCCATATCTGCTAATCATAGTTTCCTGGAAGAAATTTATTTTTATGGATTGTCCAAGTCAATAACTCAATAATCAACCTCGAACTATTTGTTTGACCATATTCATCTTAAAGCTCAATAAAAAGTCACATCAATTACAAAATCTTTTTTTCAACCTACTAAATATTAATAAAGAACCATCATATATTATAACATTCACTTCAGTGTTCTTTTGTTCTAGGATATTGTTTCAACTATTCGAGATAACCAAGTTGTTATAATAAGCGGTGAAACAGGTTGTGGGAAGACTACACAGGTTCCACAGTTTATTTTGGAAGATCAGGTCTTAGGTGGAAATGGGTCTGTTACGCGTATCATTGTAACACAACCTCGGCGTATAAGTGCTGTTTCGGTTGCTGAACGTGTAGCAACTGAAAGAGGACAGTCTATAGGATCTTCCGTTGGCTATCAGGTCCGATTAGAACGCCGATATCCTCAACGTCCTCATGGATCTATCATGTTTTGTACGACAGGAATTATTCTTCAATGGTTTCGTTCTGATGCACTTCTAAAGGTAACTAAACATTAATCATTTTTTCGAGTTATTTACGATTTTTCCGTACCAAACTGTATTAGTTCATCCTCAATGATGAGGAATAAAACTGAATTTTTCTCATTAAGTGTACGTCTGTGAAATACACTTTGAGTTAAATTTATTGTTTATAAACTAGGCGAGTGAACCTTCAATGTTATGGTCGAGAGATTGAAAATGTTTTAACTAATGAATTAAGTAATGCATTGAACGAACCCTAAAGAAAATTTATTGTACAAGCTCTGATTTAGTCTTGATTTATCAAATATTCACATTAGAATCGACGTTAATGTTTATGTTATCTACTGTCAGAAGTTAAAGCCTTGTAAGTGATATTTAAGGTTGATCAGTACTCATTAACAATTTACTATGATCTCAACTGAACTAATCACGCATTTTGTTTTTCCTGTGTCTTCTCAATCAGAAGTTTACTTTAGTGGTAGTACTAACACCGTACGAGTTTATAAGACACAGAAAGGCTCTTACTTTGTTACTTTACTACCCATTTTTATCATGTATTCATTGAGTTAGTAAAATGCTAGTTTAAATCTTGACAGAAATTAATCTCGACAATAAACTTCGCACTACGCTATGCTTTGAATCTCTTCTTTATAGAACATCAGTCATATCATTGTTGATGAAGTACATGAACGGGAATTTTTGTGTGATTTTCTATTGTGTATGCTAAAACGAATTGCTCCTCTTCGTCCAGATCTTCGAATCGTTCTCATGTCGGCAACAATCAATGCAGAAAAATTCGTTGAATATTTTGGTAAGTATCTATTAAAATGCTTTCATGGTAGGGAGTCGTAGTTTGGTTGGATTAATTATATAAACTAAAACTTCTTTGCTTTATCTCCTATATCCCCATCACATTCGAAATGATTTGCACATTATTGTTACTTAATATAGCTGTTGTTTGTATGCACTTGAGGTTTGATAAATAAGGTGGAGGTAATTACGTATATATTTTTATCGTTAGTGGATGGAATACTCATCATTATATTTCAAAATGCTTTTATGTAATTTCTTAAGCTGTACATCGTGAAAAATGAAAAATACGGACATTATTTAAATAAACAACTTGCTCCTATATTCATTTAGATTTGTAGTTATAAGTTAAATTGGTTCGTAAGATTATCTGTTTGTTAGCAGGTTACTGTGTTAGCTTGCTCATAGTTTGTGGTGAATTCTCTGCAGTTACTTATTTACTTACTTACTTACGCCTGTTACTCTCAATGGAGCATAGGCAGGCAGGCAGGCAGGCAGCTGCAACGTAGGACCAGGCACGTATATGCATCGGTCCAAGTTGCCATACCGCATTAGCACAACAAGATGAACACCGGATTCATAGGAGTAGTTAATTCAGTGGTGGTAATATATAGAAGAAAGATTGTGTATATGGAGATAGTACAGGAAGAAAGAATTAGTTCCTAGACAGATATGAAGCGATTTTAATCTCTTAATTTAAGGAAGACAGAGAGTGTATACACCGACGCCATTGTGATCGATTCTGAGCCATGTCACCAAGAGTCTCCAACCATTGGATACGATAGTCACGCGGACCCCAACCAGGCAGTCTGAATCTCCCAACATGGCTCAGACCAGAAGTTAGTGACTTCAAGCACTGATGCCACGTTTTGGTTTGGCCGCCCCTAACTTTCTTCCAATTATCCCCTGCACTAGTCAGCATTGCGCGTCGTGGTAATCGGTGTTCAGGCATACGCAACACGTGGCCTAACCATCTCAGTCGATGAAGATTGATAACCTCATCAACTGATTTACCATCATTCCCTAATACCCTGCGTCTAACCTCACGATTACTTACCCGGTGATCCCAGCAGATACCCGCAATATTTCTAAGGCACCTGTGGTCAAATACTAGTAACTTACGAATATCTTCCACTCTTAAAGGCCATGTTTCGCAGCCGTATAGAAGGACGGAACGAACTGCCGCGCAGTATACTCGTCCCTTAATTGATAGACGGATATCTCGCCTTCGCCATAGATGACGTAAGTTGGCAAAAGCCAAACGAGCTTTTCGAATCCGTGCTGAGATTTCGTCAGACACCAACCCATTAAGGCTGATCAGACTTCCGAGATAAGTGAAGTTGTCAACGCGTTCGACTACTTCACCCCCTATCCTTAGTTCAGGTGTTGATGCAGACCAGTCCTGAAGCAACAACTTGCATTTAGAGGGAGAAAAGCGCATCCCAAACAATCGGGCATTGTTGCTCAGTGCTAACAAAAGACTCTGCATTTCGTCAGCGTCTTCACCAAACAGGACTATGTCATCTGCGTATTCCAAGTCAATAAGTGGACCTCCTGGTAGGAGATCAATACCCGAGAAGTCAGTCGATGAGAGCGTTATTTCCATCAGGATGTCTATGATAAAGTTAAACAAAAAAGGAGAAAGTGGACAGCCTTGACGGACGCCACTTGAGGTTGCAAAAGCAGATGACAGTTCGCCATAGGCTCTGACTCGACTAGTAGTGTTCGAGTAAAGAGCCTTCACAAGGTTTATGTACTTCTGAGGTACGCCTTTCAATGACAGACACTGCCACAGAACCTCTCGGTCAACAGAGTCAAACGCTGCTTTTAAGTCAAGGAATACCACCATTGTCGGACGCCGATAAGTATGCCTGTGTTCTAGAACCTGACGAATGGTGAATATGTGGTCGATGCAGCCACGACCAGGTCTGAAACCAGCCTGATTTTCACGTGTTTGCAGTTCACGAGTTTTAGTTAGGCGTCCGAAAATTATCGAAGCTAGTATTTTAGATACTATATTAGTCAAACTAATCCCTCTGTGGTTGTCGCAGGATGATTTTGACCCTTTCTTAAATATTGGGACGATAAGTGATTGTGACCAGTTAGATGGAATAACGTCTAACTCCCAGATTTTAGCTAAAATATTAGTCAACCTAGTCGCTAAGACTAGACCACCATCCTAAAAGACCTCTGGGGCCAATCCATCTGGACCAGCTGCCCGTCCTCGTTTCAGATTAGCTATAGCCTTTTGAACTTCAGATAGAATCGGAAGACCTATTTCAATGTTCCATTCACACTGTCTGGGAATAGAGGGTAGTTGTAGAGTAGCTGAAGGCCAACTGAACTGCTCCTTAAAGTGTTCCGCCCATCGTTCTAAGCGTCTGGACTGGGAGCAGATGAGAGTGTCGTCTTTTTCCGAAATGGTCTGACTTACACTTGATTTATTAATTCCAGTTTCTTTTATTAGTCTGTAGAGTTGTCTTGTGTTCCCTATAGCCGCCGCCTTTTCCATCTCTTTTGCTTTCGTTGCCCACCACTGCTCACGATCATTCCTTAGACTTTTGTTTAATCTAGATTTGATTTCTTTACGCTCTTCATCGTATTCAAAACCTGATGGGATGAGTTTGCGAGAATCTATCAGTGCAATAGACCTTGACGAAATCCATTGGTTTTTTGTAACCATTTGGCCGTTGTTGCTACCTTGACGTGGTGGTCGGGCTTGCCTATCGTGATGAAGCAACTGAGCTATACTGGCTGGAACAACCGTTCCTCAAGGTCCTACCATGCCAGACAGGTCGGTTGAAGAGCGGTAAGACTAAAAGCAACAAAACCAAGGTCCGAAGGCGAAGTCGTACTGCTGACTGTACAGAGGTGTGACAGCAGTAAGGTGTTTCCTTCAGACAACCAGCATGACAGCGATGCTGCCTTCCCACAAGGAGGGGTGGGGTTAGAAAAGGTCGACCCTAAAAATGCACACCTCGCCTTATCCCACGGATATCCGTCTCCGGCGATAAGGACTCGACAAGTACGGAGCTAACACAAAAATCACTCATAAAAAGGTCGTGTGTGACCGACCTCAAGCAGCTGTCCCTTGGGCACTGCGGTCACGCTCTCAGGTCACTATGACCAACTCTAATCCAATTTCCTTTTCAGGTACCTCCAGAAGAACCCTTCCACGGTGTGGGCAACCGGGAAGTGATAACCGCCCTCATACCTCTAACAGCACTCAAGACCACTGTATTCATAGTCAACGTCCCTCTTCAATTCCTATTATTCCTCCTACATCGACTTTATACACTAAGCTTCCTCTTTTGGTTTCCTCCTCAAGTGTCACCACAGCCAACGATTCTAGTGCTCAAAACACTGTCCCAGGTCTACTGAAACCTCGCTCCAAACTATACATTGGAGCCTTCAACGTACGCACACTATGCCAAATCGGTCAGCAGGCTTCCTTGGCTAAAACCTTAGAATCTCGTACCATTGATGTATGCTGTGTCTCCGAAACACGCATACAGGATCCTAGTGTGGCCATTCACTTGACCTCACCTCGGCAAAACGGAGACCCAACGAGATACACCCTCCGTGTATCTGGCGACCCGATGGCTAGTTCTCGTGGACTGGCAGGTGTAGGCATAGCACTTAGCATGAGGGCGGAACAGGCGCTATTAGAGTGGATCCCCGTTAACAGTCGTCTATGCGCTGTTCGGCTAAACGGCTCCGTAAGAACTCGGAAGGATAGGGACACACGTCGTTGCCTTTTCGTCGTTTCTGCCTACGCTCCCACTGACTGCAGTTCGGATGAAGTGAAAGATGAATTTTACAGAAAGCTGTCTGAACTTCTTCAGAAAGCTAAACGTTCAGACATAGTACTCGTAGGAGGTGACTTTAATGCCCAGGTAGGTAGCTTAAACAAAACAGAAAGACATTTAGGTGGGTATTTTAGTATTCCAGCACAGCGAACAGATAATGGTGATCGTCTGCTGCAACTGTGCTCAGACAATCGTTTATTTTTAGCAAACACAAATTTTAAGCATAAGGAGAGACATCGTCTAACATGGCGACCCCCTGCACCAAACCAACGATGGACTCAAATAGACCATATTGCCATCAGTCATCGTTGGAGAGGGTCAATAGAAGATTGTCGCTCATTCTGGGGTACCTGCTTGGACTCTGATCATGCCCTAGTACGAGCACGCATCTGCTTGCGCCTCACTGGACGCAAAAGAGCCACACAAAAACGACTCATTAGAACCGAATTGAGTAATGAGAAAGCCAAAAGTAGGTTCCAGGAACAACTGAGGTCACACTTAGGTAGTTCTGAAAACGAGACTGACCCAGATGTTGCTTGGAAAGTTATACAAGCAGCTGTGGAAACAGCAGTGACATCTACTAGCGATTCAAACCACAGGGTTACAAAGAACCAATGGATTTCGTCAAGGTCTATTGCACTGATAGATTCTCGCAAACTCATCCCATCAGGTTCTGAATACGATGAAGAGCGTAAAGAAATCAGATCTAGATTAAGCAAAAGTCTAAAGAATGATCGTGAGCAGTGGTGGGCAACGAAAGCAAAAGAGATGGAAAAGGCGGCGGCTATAGGGAATACAAGACAACTCTACAGACTAATAAAAGAAACTGGAATTAATAAATCAAGTGTAAGTCAGACCATTTCGGAAAAAGACGACACTCTCATCTGCTCCCAGTCCAGACGCTTAGAACGATGGGCGGAACACTTTAAGGAGCAGTTCAGTTGGCCTTCAGCTACTCTACAACTACCCTCTATTCCCAGACAGTGTGAATGGAACATTGAAATAGGTCTTCCGATTCTATCTGAAGTTCAAAAGGCTATAGCTAATCTGAAACGAGGACGGGCAGCTGGTCCAGATGGATTGGCCCCAGAGGTCTTTTAGGATGGTGGTCTAGTCTTAGCGATTAGGTTGACTAATATTTTAGCTAAAATCTGGGAGTTAGACGTTATTCCATCTAACTGGTCACAATCAC